TGCCTGATTTGATATGGAAAGATTCACTTTGGCTCTTCCTACCTGTTTTACAGAGAGAGTAGGAACAACCAAGGGGAGTCTTCCAGTGTGAAATGATTAAAGCTGTGGCTGATGAGTTGCCTCACAGTACGGAAACTCAACTGTCTTCAGCACATCAGTGAAGTGCTTCGAGTTCTATTCAACTGCTACATTTGAATTAAACATACCCAAAACAGAGGTCTGCCACAAGGAAGTGGAGAGATCTAGAGTGCTGGGTAAGCAATCAAAGTTAATCTTAATTCTGTACAAAAGGCATATCCTAAGACTTTTTTGAAGATAATTTTTTTGATGACTGTCAACAAACACACAATTACATCCCAAGCAATAAAAGCATGAATCTCATTAATTTCTTGTATGCAACAGGAGCTGAAAATACTGAAAATCAATACAAAATTTTATCAGAAGCAATGTTCTGAGCATTATCATAACCATATGCCAAAAACAGATGCTGGAACTATCATGGGGAAAACTTGAGATAGCCTGTACAACTGTGCATTAAAACAGCCTTTGCCTGATTCAAAACCATTTAAAGAAAGACTTTATTGATGGGCTGTTTAATGTCCTTGGATACTACTGAAGAATTTTTATGGAAATACTTTGTATACTGGATTATTAGAACACATTTATCATCCCTTGCCTCCACATATATCTCACATCTGGATGACTTTACAATAGCAGCATGAATCAGAGCTACAGGGTACACCAATATTTTCCTCACTAAAGGAAATGGAGTTCTTTAGGGAATTTACTTACCATTCTTGTATTATTAGCAACATAATAAAGCAATTGCAATGACCTCCATAAATTGACCCTATTAGAGAAGGAAATATCTTGAAAAAACAAAGCTCAGTTCATATTATATAAAACTCTATATATGCTAAAATTCTTATGACAACTATTCCTAAATCCAGGAAGAAAGTTTCACCAATATTACAGTGTAGAGTGAAATCAATTAACAGGATACTGAACTTCATCACAGAGGCTGCTTCCCATCAAAAAAACTATTTGTAAATTGTGTATTTATTCTTATTAAATAAGAATAGATTTGCCTACTTTTTTTGTAAGCAAAATTTGCAAAACTGTTAGTGGGCTCAGTCAAGGAGCTGGACTAGATGATCTTCAAGGATCCCTTCCAACTCTTGATTATTCTGTGATTCTATGGTTAACATGGTGCCAAACAGCATCATAAGCTAAACTCTTACTTACCACCAGGAGCCACTGTCAAGAGAGAAGAATCATGATGTTTTGATCAGACCCTTCCTGCCTCTTCTCTCTGTGTGGGACACTGGGAGCAGAAGAAAAGTCAGTGGGGTCCCAGTGAAGAGGATACTTCCCATTCTTATCCACTTTGTTAATGTAGGTCCATAGCCTCACTCCTGCATATACCTAACACCTGCCATTCCAGATCCTCAGGCTGCTCAGGAAAAGTCCCCTCTGTCCATCCTGCACAGCAGCAGAAGAGGAGGAGGTTTGTCCCACAGATGCCTTAGTAGCATCCCTGCCAGCCCATGTCTTCAGCACCTGCAGGAGCTGGAGGATCCTTTCCCCAGCTGGCCTTTTAATGTACAATCCTGCAGTATTTATGAGCGGGAGCTAAGACAAATAATCTCCAAGTCCCCAAAGCAGCGATTCTTCAGCAGAGCAGACACAGCAGCTCTTGGGCTGCCTGGCCCAGCCCCAGCACAGCCCCCAGGGATGCTGTCCCACTGCCAGCTCTGCAGTGCATCCCCAGGAGCTGCCTCCCCTGCCCCACCGCATCCCCACTCCAATTGCAGCCAAAGTCTCCTCTTGGAGGTTTTTTTCTCCTTTTTTTAATTCTCTTTTTTCCCCTTAGAAGAGTATCTACATACTGTGTAAAGCACTTCTGTTTCATTAAAAGTTGCACTTGAACCCCAAACACCAGAGCGTGGTGTGGTGAGAGCCCTGTGCCAGAGCAGGACCCTGTTCACCACACCACGGAGGGCCCTGACCCCTCTGCCCCTCGTCCTGCCTCCCTCCCTGCCAGCATGGCCAGGCGTCCCACAGCTCACCCCTCACGGCTGGGCACTCCGGGGCACCGACAGCTCCCGCGGCTCCTTGCAGAGAGACTCCAGTGCCATCGCACCTCAGCCTTGTGCCACCTCCATGGCCAGGGGTGCTGCTCCCCTCACAGCCTGGGCATGGAGACTGCTCCCCTGGGGGACAGTTTTGCCTGCTGGAGGCAGGAGGAGCCTGTGAATGTGGGGACACAGGCTCCCTGCACCACCCTGAGCGCCTCAGAGCGGGCGTAGGGCATAACCCCATGAGGGGAGACAAAACCTCTGAGGAAGATAGTTACCCTGAGCAGTTTTTTTTCCCAAACCTCCCAAATAGCAATCCATGGGGTTGCCTGGAGGGACACAGTGTGGGGCAAGAGCAAGGGGAGGGTGTGTGGAGGCAGCAGTGGGTCTGGAGCAGGTCCTGGGTGCCCCAGGCCTTGGGAGGGGATGGCCATGGGGCAGGGAGCTCAGAGGGACAGGGACGAGGGGGAGAATGGGAAAGGAGTCTGAAGGAACAGGGATGAGGGGGAGAATGGGGAAAGGAGCCCAAAGGAACAGGGATGAGGGGGAGAATGGGGAAAGGAGCCCAAAGGAACAGGGGTGAGGGGGAGAATGGGGAAAGGAGCCCAGAGGAACAGGGATGAGAGGAGCGCTTGTTCCCTGCTGCTGCCAGGAGCAAGTACCTCTGCAGCTCCACTGCCCAGGGATGGGAGACAGGCCCCTGCCAGAGTCTAGGTCCTCCCCACTCTGTCCTTATCCAGCCCTCCATCTCAGCCTTCACCACTTGGAAATGAAGGTACAAATGTAATATGAAGAGCAGCAAGGAATTTGGAAAATCGTGCATTGCAGCAGAAGTTGGAGTGGTTTGCAGCCCAGAAAGCTGCAAAGACCATCAGGGCCATGCCCTGTTCCCATCTAAGGCAGAGGCTGCAGAATGGCCTGTCCACACTGCAGACACAGATGGGCTCCGTGCCCACCATCTGAAATAAAAGCTCATTACCCAGGGGCTATTTTTAGCACCCGATTAATTCTTTATAGCTCACATGCTGCATTTGTACTCCTGTTGCTGTGAAAAATCGTAGCTTGGAAAAATCCCATTTACCTCCATTTTGGGAAAATGTGGCTTTTAAAAGAAAAACAGCAAATAACTTCAGACCCCAGCCTGAACACAGACCAGGCAGGAATACCAAGCATGTGTAAATGCACACTTAGAGATTAAAGTTGCCAACTGAATGTTTTAGACTCTGTTTTCACTATTCATACATCTATCTCAGCCTTAAAAACTTTTGATTCTTCTCTTTCCCAAATCCAAGCAATTCACAGAAAGACAATTACATGGAAAAAAGACTTGTGTTGCCTTTTTGTGGCCTAAGAAAAGGCCAAATCCCAACTCTCTGGGTTGGACCTTTGGATTACAGGTACCACCCACAGTCAAAACAATATGTGGGCCTAGTCTCATGGACTTCTGATTATTCCTCAACATATCTCATGGAGCCTCTTACTCCTTTGAAAGAAAGAAGCAAACTGCCAGTTTGGTTTGACAGTATTATATCCACTGTCATAGGTGCTGATGGTACCAGATAAGGAAGGAATCAGACTTGCAGTTCTCTGTCATTGATGTCTCACACAATGATCAAAAGACTTGGGGTGTTTGAGGCTTTTACTGGGGTAGAGCAGTGTCTTTATTTTATTTTTTATCTTTCTGCTGGTAAACATTGTCCCATTTAAAGGGCAGATTCAGTATGCAATTATTTTGAAATAAACTTGGAAAAGGGTTTCCTAAATCTTTCTGGTCTACCCTGTACACTCCTTTAATTGCAGGTGGGTCTCTTTGGCAAAGGCTGCTCTTGCTTGAGAAGCTTAACAGTCTATGGACCATCCTGACACTTTGGGCGTGATTCTACAGGTGCTCAAATGTATCTTCACCCCTGCACTCACTGCATCAGACTCTCCAGAGAAGCAAAAGGAGTCTGAGGCACCTGACTTTGCACAGAATCACAGTGTAAGGGACTGAAGTTAAAAGATAATAGAGCAGTTCTCCACAAAACTGTACGAATCTGCATATTCTCAGGTTATTCAGGAGTTTAATAAATTAGCTGTTTCACTGAAGACTGGCAAAACTTGCACTGGTGTTTGTTGGAGACAGTTAATTGACTTGAGCTACACTCTAAACATTTTACATAGAAATCTATCCCCAGCAGTCAGCTGGAAGGCTATTTTACTGCTCAGCTGTACAGATGACACTCAAAAATGTGTGGCTTTTGCAATTTTGAGGGTCAAGCTTTTATTTCTTCAGGAAGCAATCTTGAATTCTATGATTCATGACTGTCTTGGATTGTCTAAGGTAGGAAATAACAGCCTGAAATTACTGTCATGTGTCTGTAAGAACCCAAAGGGAGAGTGTAGAACTAGATCTTCTCCAGCAGGAAAACAGCTGGTAAAAAATTAAGCCAACTGTGTTTCCAAGTAAATCCTGGAATGCAGTATGCAAAACAACATGTGCTCAATCAGAAATCCTCAAAAGACAAGACAATTTCAGCAAGCAGATGAAGAACATTAAAATCAGATAAGAAACTTGTACCTCTATGGGCCTTCTTTTGCTTGGTTTCCTTATTATCCATGATTCCAACAGAAGCTGAGAATACTCAGCATCATAAAATAGGCAAGGATTTAAGAGAGCATGACACCAGGCACTGTCTCCACACTTCAACTAAAGGAGGAAATTTCTCTTGACACATAACAGTTTTCTCCTAAGGCAGCCCACACTCACCTCTCTTACATCATTAATTCCACTCCTGAGTCTTAATGTGAATGAGATACACTAAAATTGTACCACATAAATTACACTTCATACTGTCACTCCACCCTCTGATCATACCTTCAGAGACATTCACACAACTGCCACAGAGGCAACCAACAGCAAGACAAACTTTACCAAAGCTCTGAAAAGCAAACATACAGATTTATATATATATATATATATATTCACAAGAGCAATTGTTTTATCTTAAAACCTTTCTAAAACAGGAATATACTGCAGGCTTTGGCAGTAGAGATAAAATATTATGGGATCCAGCCTTACTTTGTTTATCTCATCCAAATATACACATTGTTATAACAGAGGAAGAGTTGCATCCAGAATTATTACTGCTACTTGGTGACCAAAATGCCTCATACACTGCTCTGCACATCAAAATACTGCAAATATTCATCTTGCCTGATCAACAGCATCTTCTTTGGGGTGGAGGAGAAGAAAAGAAGCATATACATGGTTCACTTAAAATGCAGTGACAAAAATGGCATTTGAAGGCATGTGCTCAAAACAGTCCCATATTGTTATTACAGATGGAAACAGTGAAGGAAGAGAAACAGAAGAAACAAAAGCCAGCTTTTGTGAGTTCCAGAGCAATCCCTTATGATCCTGGGTCTTGTATAAGATGCTTTGGAAGCTTTGGAAAGGCATTCAGGGTCTCCCCCTGAATAAGGCACTGTAACACACAGTCTTCCATGAGCCTGGCCCAGTGCCACGACAGTTTCTGCGTAATTCATTGCACGTTTTGCTAAGTGTTCTCTGTATATCTCTATAGACATATACACATAGACATATATGTAATTTTCCATATGTTTTCCTGAAAAAAAACCCAGAAAAATAAAATAAATCACATAATGGAATACAGAGTTCAGAATAAGATAAACTTAGTACCTGCTGACATGTCACACGTGCCCCAAACTAAACCAGAGATGAATTGATTTTCAAGTTATATGTACTCCAAGTCTGTAGATATAAATTATATCTTTTCTCACAAAGTCTTCATATAGCCCAGTCAGGAGGTCTAATGTTTGACTTTCCGAGTAGCTCCTGCCCTTTTCAAGCCTCATCATCTTTTAAGTGTACGAACACTGTTGCTAGAAATTCCTTGTGTCATTCTCATAATAAAATGTTGATTAGGGACAGAAATAAAACTTTTTTCCACTCTCAGAGTTTAGATCTCTAGAAGTAGAGTAGCCCTGAACCTCATCATCTTTGAACATAAGATGTTTAAGACATACATTAAGCAGATAACTATGCGTATGGAAAGAGCCTATTCTTCAAACATCATTCTCCCTTCACCTTTTCTTCTGCAGTTGAAAAAAAAAGAGACTCAACTAAAGAGACTATTCTTTCCATAAGGAATATACCAAACATAGCATAATCTTCCCACTCCCTCCAAATGGTCAGTGATTTAAGCACTGCTTGAGACAGAGGTTGCAATCTTAATGCCATGTTTAACAGGCACCAATGGGTCTAATCTTACATTCATTTGTCTAATTTTTTAATCCATTTTCAGCTCACATGGTCTTCTGCATCAGTAAGCTTCAGGGCTTGTTCTTTGTTTCCTTTTCAAATAGTTGCTTAAAAGTATCATAAAATACCTTTTCATTTTTTTTCAGAATTAGTAAACAAGGACCTTCGTATCTGACTATTTTGTCATAAGGAGAAGACACTATGAACAGTCCATTGCCACTGAGAAAACACAGATATATACTGACCACTTATTTTACAAAGTAATGTATTTTCAATCCTTTTTGATTTGCAATTCACAGTCATGTTTTTGGGGAAGTCTTTGAGTCTAGGGCTCAGACATTCACTTACTCTTCTTCAATCATGTATGTAAATCAGAATTATTTACACAAAAGTCTGAGAATTGGGTCCTTGATTTAATTAAACTACAGTTGTTACCTCCCACATGGTGTAATTGTGTGAGTTCACATTTTATCTCAGTTCTTCTTCCTCCTCCTCTTCCTCTTCCTCATCTTCCATTTCCTCTTCTGAGTCATCCTTATTCTTTGAACTGTTGCTGAATTCAAGGTTCCCTTCAATATCCAGTACCTGTAAGTGCTTTAGGTTTTGGAAGGTACTTTCTTTCAGTGCTCCAACTGCAATTTTATTAAACCTGTAAACAAACAGAAAGACCTTCCTGTTAACATAAACCCATTCTCCTATGCAACACAGAAATGAGACTAGGAGGAAACCATTCTGCAGAGCTGCCTTAACTTTACACTGACCCAAGTTCCTCTAACTTTACGCTGACCCACAGCAGCACTCTAGAAGTGCTGACTCCTCTGGATGGGAAATCATAATATTGGAATTTCTCCCCCACAGATTCTTTTCTCTTGATATTCTGCTTCTTCCTTCCCAGAGAGGAAAGGCATCTGCTCCATAGCCCACATTTCAAAGTGTAACTCGATTTTTCATGAGATTCTGTGTCCCCCCTTGATAGTTTCATTCTTCACCCACAACACTCAAAATACTGGTACAAAGCAACCCCTGGAAACAAAGCAACATGCAAGAATTTCTCATCTTATTTGGGTTTCCATGAATACAAATAAATTAATCTGCCATTTAAGAACTTTTTACATATACTTCTTGGCCTGTTCCCTTGAGCACGCTTAAAAGCATATAATACTCCATATGTATATTATTGTTTCACAGCACAGCAGTGATTAATAGTCTCCCATTAAAAAAATATGACTTAGCCTGGGTGGAGTTGCCTCCTGAATATGTTAGCAAAACTGTTTTGCAAATTCCTTTTTTCTTTATATAGAAATATAGAATGTGGTATGTGGTTTCTGGTTCTCATCCAAGCATTCACTAAAATCTCATAAATGTGAGCAGCTGAATAGACAGACTGCTCTAATTTACACCAGACTTTGTAATTTTATTTGCCTGGTATGGAAGCATTCTTCCAAAAAGGTATGCTCCAGAACTATTCAGAACTAAGGAGCAGTTTAGCTGCATGCAGACAAAATAAGACCATATTTAGTCTTGTGCTGCTAGCAGCACAGGCTTTTTGAGCACAGCCATTGGATCAGTTTAATCAAATATTCTGCAGGGATTCATAAATTATTTCTAGTTAATATTTTCAATAAGGTTCTATCAGATTAAAATGGAATATATTACTGGGAGAGATTCTTGCTTCACTTCTTCTGGTATAAATCTCTACTTAGATCAGTTACGTTACTGTGAGTTTACATTATGTGTAAAAAAGGTCAGTCTCTGTCACCTATAAAAACAAAGTCCTCATCCAAGTGACAGAGTGGGGAAAAAACAACAGAGAAGCTTCTAAACTTAGTCATGTCACTGTCAGAGTTGAAACTTGCCACTTGTCTCTGACAAAGCTATCAAGGGAACGAGCACAACTTCGAGATTAGTCACACAGCGCTCACTGGAGGGGAATTTTGTCAAAATCCAGGGCCAGCAGACACAGGCAAAGCTGTACTCCTACAAGTGGGCTGCAAACTTTTGGCTCACAGCTGATATCGGAATAAGACATAATGTTAAACATTAATGTTCTAACATTCATTTCTAACGTGCCCAATCCATTCTAATAAGCACAGAAAGGCCAAGCTCTCCCAACAGAAAGAGCTTATTATATGTACCCATGTCTTGCCTGAGCAGATGAACATAGTTTCATCACACACTTCTATAAAACAAAGATGGTTGTTTAGAAAGTTAGGATTTAAAATCCTTTCTAAAAAGCAAGCAATTGTAAGGTGGACGAAGAAGAAAACCATGTAAGTGGAAAGTTGAGCTTACCTGAGGTAAATCCCCTTTATTTTGGGCGTGGATTCAAAGGCATTCTCTGAAATTGTTGTGATCTTGTTGTTCTGAAGATACAGATATTCCAGAGATTCTGGCAGGCCTGATGGGATAGAAGTCAGCTGGTTGCCAGCCATGTCCAGTGACTGAAAGGAAGAGACAACAAGGAGTCAAACAAATAACTGAATGGAAACATTAGAAACATTCCAGAAAGAGATGTAAGTTTAACAGCAAATGAGCTTCCAAATGTTGGATCTATACACACATACATTCTTCCTTTGGAAGTTTATCCACGGGGGTTTGTAAA